TAAAGGCTGGATTGTTGATGTAACAGTTGACAAAAATGAAAATATGATTCTTGAGATGACTCTGCTTCAAAGCATGGCCCTTGCGCTTCTTGTTCAAAGCCTTGAGAAGAGCTTCAGTGACCTGGTCGGCGATGTAGTTGACATGAGTGCCTCCACTAGTTGTAGCGATCGAGTTAACGAAGGATACTTGTTGAAAAGTACCGTCAGAAACAGCAAAGCCAACCTCCCAACGAGGATGCGACTTGTCCTTATCCATCTCAACAGTACAGGTCGGAGCGCCTCCCTCTTCTGTGCTTCTCTCCTTTGCGATGGACTTGGCGTAGAGATCACAGTAGGCCTTGAAATCCTTGATCTTGATCTGCTCGCCGTTGAGGAAAACCTTGATTCCTCGAATCGTGCCCACCATGTCGTAAACTCTGCGGTGAAGGAGGGACTCAAGATCATCATCGATGCCATCTTCCATACCAAAACGCTTGAAATCGGGCTTAAAGGTCACTCGGGTGAAATCTGAGGTTTTGCTGCTGGTGATTTTGGCTTTCTCCATGGTCTGCATGTTGTTTCTCCAGGTCTGTTTGTACCTCTTGCCGTGCTCACTGTCTTGGCATTCAAGGTTGAATTCAGTGCTGAAGACGTTACACAGCTTGGCACCGTAACCGTTACGACCGCCAACAGTTTTCTTCTCGTCGTCGTCGAAGTTGGAACCCGCCAACAAATGTCCGAAGATAAGCTCAGGAATGTAGATTTTCTCCTTTTCGTGAACAACAATAGGAATGCCCTTTCCGTTGTTTTCGACGCTGATCACACCGTTCTCACGATCGATATTGATCTTCATGTACGTCATGGAGCCATCGCGCTGCTTGTTATCGGCAGCGTTGACCAAGATTTCGTCAAAAATCTTGTAAAGGCCAGGTACAAAGCTAACATTCTTGTACTCCATCAACTGGGTCTCTTTGTTCAGAACCCACATCTGTTGTTCCGTTCTCTCGACAGAACCGATGTATGTATCAGGTCGCTTGAGGATGTGCTCCAGTTGTGACAGCTTCGTGTACATTTCGGTGGCCGTCTTCTTCTTGCCAGGTTTGGCGGGGCTGTCAATTACCATGCTATCATTCTCGAGCTCCTCCAAGGGCGCGCCAGAAGACTTGCTGACTGCAGGCTCCTTTTTTTGCTTTTTAGCCTTGGGGGGTGTGTTTGAGAAACCCGAAGCAACGCTCATATCATCGTCATCGCTCTCCGGTGTTGGGCGCTTTTTGGGAGCGCTCTTCGTTTTAAGTGTTGTTTGCACCATCTTTTTTACGGCCGGCCGCGCAGCAGCCTTCTTTGGTGCGGCTTTGGGTTTCACCTTCTGTCAAGGAAATGTCAGATTACGTTTGTGAAGGAAGCGCAGATACGAAAGTGTTTGGCAAGAAAGTCGCTTGATGCGAATAAGCTTGAAGAGAGGGGTTGAAAGATTGTGATGCGGTCTGACAGGCAGAGCAGGCAAATAGAAGAAGGTAAACAGGCATACAATGCGCAAATCGAGTTATTGTGTTGACAAAAGAGGGGTAAAAGAGAAGAATACTTACGGTTTCAGGGACGTAGCCATCTGACTCCTCCCCAAGACTGAACATGGACGCATCGGAGTCCATCTTGTTGTTGTTTGCAGAGAGGGTAAAGAATCTGGCTCGGGGCGCCAGGACAGAATTTAAGGACAATGAAGTTGAATACAGGGGTCTCAATGAGGGACAAAACAAGGACAATGGGGTCGAGAATGAAGGATGAGCAGACCGAGCGAATGGTGATGCACGCGTACAGAGTCGCGATAACAAAAATGAGGAAACAAAAGGTGCCAGACTTCCCATCAACAATTAAAACAGTCCTACCTTATTGTGTTGTTGTGACAATCAAGGGTCCCTATTGTAAACAAATCTTACAGGGACGCGACGTTGGCGACCCACTTCCGCCCGCCGTGGGGCCGCGCATTAATGCCTCAGGCCGACCAGCTCATCACTTCTAAACGCCAGACCTCGTGACCTGGCACATGATCTTGTAGACTGGTGTGGGTGGAAGAGACGTCTGGTTGAAGAAGGTAATGGCTTTGGGTTGTCGATTGTGTACACCTTTTTTGACGCTCGATTTGCTTGCAAAGAAAGTTTTTCTGCAAACTCTGTCGAGTTTCGGGAGACATGAATTTGTTTCTGTCAAACCCGATACTCCTCGCCTCACCGGTTTGCTCAAAGACGGGATGAACTCAAGGCTCCCCTTATGCAAACTTACTCTCGGCTCAAGACCTCTTCAGGCCAAGCAGGACCTCATTTTGATTAAGGTGGGATGAAATCATCTCCAGAACAAATAAAAGGATAGCAAACCACTACTCACCTCGTTTGATTAACGCTTCGGCTCGTGCCACACGTTCCACAAATCTCCCAGAACAGGAGCTTTCCTTATAGAAATTGCGGCAACTTGAAAAGCATCCGAGGCCGGCCCTGTTCTAGTGGTATCACGGTCGCTTATTCTCCGAAAAGAGCCTGTCAAGCTCGAAGTCAGACATGCACCGGTCTCAGCCTGGGCTAAGCGGGCCGAGTCAAAGTGTGCGACTTAGGATGATAAGCCTACAACACTTGTTTATTCTCCTGGTTTCACCATCTTCGAGAATAGCTTGTCTGAGGCGGACCGTATCACCACCAGAGGCCTTAACGAGGGATCGACTTACGCCTCATCGCCAGATCAGCTTAAAGCTTGTTGTGCCTGCATTAACATTCGATGGGCGCCTTGATTATTCATCAAATAGCATCGCTGAATATATAAAAGTAGGTATTTTGGCCACATTCTGAAGTTGTCTTTACACTGCGCTCAAAACCGGGATGTGCCCCGATCTAGCTTCTACCTGGGTGGTATGGCCAGTGCTGCATTTCATTCCTTCGTACCCTGTGAGGCTGGATTCGATCAAACATCTAACGTCCTCAAATCTAACCAAAGAAGCACTGCCTCTCTAAACAACACAGCTATTTTACGCGGGTAAAGAGACTTATGCCACACCAACGGGGGAGGAAGAACGGTGATACCGCCCGGAATTCGATGTAAGGAGCCGTTTTGTGTCCTCGGCTGCGCCTGGTGCAAAAGAAACGCTAACTCGCCATGGACTGCCGCTGTCATACCGCTCCGAAATCGTACAATCATCTGAAACCAAGCCTTGAGAACTAAGAAGGAATTCATCTACTCTGATACCGATTTGGACAATCAGTCGTTTCCAAATTCGTCAGAGCTCGGTCCGATAAGCTTGGTAAGATGTCAAACATGTTGTTCATCTTTCAAAATTAGGCACGGATGTCATGCTGTCCGAATGAGGAAGACCGAGATATTCAGACAGTGCCTCAATGCCCAAATGCTGCAGACTAAGACGGTGTTCACTCAAGAAACGCCATAACCCGTTGTTGGGCCCTGCCTCTACCCTTTTTGCGTCTTCTGGGTGACAGATTAGTCGCTATTCAGTGACAGCACCATCACTGGCCACTTCGAATAAGTGGACAGAAGACCCGACCCCGGAAGAGTGTCGCTGCCCGAGCCGTCGGCTGGTCGCGTCAGATGTGATGAATTTCGCGAGACGGTGATGCCTGCCAAAAGGTCACCGACTTCGACCAGAGTCTCATGCTTACTCACGACAAGAGAGTAGAAGAAGTCATGCAACAAAGTTATGGTGGCTTAGGTCATTGACATCGTATTTCATAGATCTGGGTGTAGTCATACTATGCTAGTTGACGATATGGAGGGCACAACGCGCAACAGGTTCCCCAGGCCCTTTCAAGACTGACGCAATCGTAACTTGGATCAAATGGTAAATGAAAGCCAAAACATTGAAGGCCACTCCAAGGGCAGGAGGGGCGAGCGTATTTGGCATAGGCTTGTGTTCCCTCTCGGGGATTTTTCTTGTGTCTGTACGCCTGAGAGCTCGTGAGAGTAACAAAGGCCAGAGACATGACAGGTTTGTTTCTGGCTTCACCGCGACAGATCATATGAGGGAGAAAGCTAACAGACTGACTTCTGGAAGCGCCATCGAATTCTCATCAGAAACATACCACTGGTGTAGTATGCAACGGCTATGCACAGGTCTTTGGTCTGAATAGAAGGACCCATGAGACGTATCCCTGACAAACCATTGCCACCTCATATATTTACTGACCGCAGAAACGGAAGACACGTCTGATAAGCTTGTTGGAGATGTTTATGTGTAAGCCGTCTCAGCAAGGAAGCGTGCCCCTTCTAGCTGTCAGTTGTCATACTGACACGTGGGGGCGACTCGAGCAATTCTAAGGGAGTGGTGAGATGAACAACAGAACCTCAGTGGCAGCAGGACCGCTGTCTCCTGTTGTACAGATATGAGAAAACAGACTGGGGTAGAAGGTCCTGGACGATGTGGTATGCAAGCATCCGCCTGTACTTCATTCTGACTCTGAGCCCGTGGGGCGGCCTCTAGAAGACAAGACAACCAATTCGTTATTCTTGGCTCTCATTTGCGGCTCAAAGTTCAGTCTCGTTCTCCAGCCTCCTGACTATACCGGGGAGTTAGCCATTCAATCAATGAGAGACGAACTGCAATATTAATCAGATGAAGCCATGATTGTGTGGTGCCCTGTCGAGTTTAGAGGAGAAGAGAGGATGTATCCGGGCGTGTAACGGACGGCACGGAGTGAAGGCTGACCTATCCACACCCAACAGCTCTAATATGCACCCCTGTTGCAGTTCTTTCTGCCATATGGTCCTCCTAATGTGGAGGGGAATTCCAGAGGATATAGAGGAGCTGTTTGATAAAGCGGGACTCTGGACTCAAACATATCTCCTAGGTGAATGAGCAAAACCGTAGCAGTGGGACAACGCAACAATACGTGCCTGTTCATCAAACTATCTGGAAACCTCATCCTTGCATTTCTCCCAAGGCTTTAAACTGAGCCCAATTTCTTTTACTATATCATTAATACCCTGCTCCGACATCGTTCCGTCATCTATCACTTGGTGGCTGTTCCTAGTATCTGCTAGCACCAGGCGGTGGGAGCTCGTCAACGGAGCTCTAGCCCCTTGGAAGCCGGCATTGAAACAGAAAGAACAAAGAAAACATAACGAAGAGTGTCGACCTGACCTAAACAAGGCGCGACCGACTTTTGGAGTTGCAGGTTCCCGAGCAACTTTGCTGGCCGAGCCAGCTCAGGCTGGGGTTCCTCACCACCGCCTATTTCGGTACACGCAGGCATATTTGCCCTTCCCCGACTTGTTTGTCAAGCTGAGGAGTGACTTGAAAGGCGAAGAGTTTCCACCAGCTGTAGCGTTGCGGCTGCCTGTCCTTCCCTGCAATCCAGAAGTAGTTATATCACGGCCGCTGCCCGCTGTGCTATCCAAACCACTTGGTTTAGCCATCTCTTTACGGCCAATCTCTGGCCTCCTGCATCTCGCGAACATCATTGCGCATCTCAAACTTCTGTTTCTGGTATTTCTGGCAAACTTTACTGGTTTTCATCATGTTGTCCCTTAAAGGTCTCCTGAACCCAGCACCAACTGGAGATAATGCTTCCCCCTTTCCTCGACCAAGTCTTGCGCTCGAGTTCCCACCAATCTCTAATTCCGAAGAACCATCAAATCAATCTCGGAACCGTTCTATGATGGCTTCTGATAGAGCTGGGCTCAAAGATGCCAACAACATGGCCAAATCGAAGCTGCGCGGCCCAGTCAAGTTTCACCCTTTCGAGCGTCTCGACGAGATTGCTTTGCAAGAGATACACCGATTCCGAGTCAAGCCTTTTGGGAGCATTCAGGATACAAGCCTTCACATCCCATACAACAGCGGTAAAAAGGACTTTTACGAAAAGACAGGACGAGAGAGCTTCGAGGGTAAGTAACCAAGTTTGACGTTGATCACCGATTACTGACGCAGGCCCAACAGTTTTCAAATACGAGTTTACCTTGACTGAACAGAACGTTGAGTACGCTGTGATGTGGGACTACAATGTTGGGCTCGTTCGCATGACCCCTTTCTTCAAATGTCGCGGCTATGGAAAGGCAAGTAGAAGAACAAGCCTCACACGCCTATACTAACTGTCGATGGAATAGACGGTGCCGGCAAAGATGTTAGGCCTCAATCCAGGGCTCAAAGAAATCACACATAGCATTACTGGAGGTTCTATAGCTGCTCAAGGTATGTTCCAGCCCTCAGCGTCTTCTAGTCGTTCGCTCATCGGTCTATGCAGGTTATTGGATGCCATACACTTGTGCCAGAGCTATCTGCGCAACCTTCTGTTACTCCATCGCGGGGGCCTTGATTCCAATCTTTGGCCCGGACTTTCCGTCTATTTGCATTCATCCCAGCGCGCCTGAGCATGGCCGCATGGTCATCAGCCCGCAAATAATCGTCGAAGCTACCCATGAAGCCGAAATGGCTCGGCGTATGCACATGAGTACTATCCCACCTAGCTTCCAAGGCGCTACGAGCTATCCAAGAGACGATCGAAGTATTCCGCAGGGCATCTATGCCCAACAAGAGCGCCGGCATCGATTCCGACCCCGTCTGTTCTGTGATCCATCGTGGGCCATGGACAGCGACGTCGAACGCCACTACATGTCAGCTCCCAACTCAGCCTCGAGTAGCGGTTCGGGACTTCCTGGATATATGGTGACGTCTCGTCCGGGGTCCAGCTGGACCGTTGCGAACCCGTCTAGCCCTGAGCCCAATCCCTGGCTCAGTGCGGTGCCTCGCATCCCACCCTTGCAGAATGAATCGGCTCTCTCGTCTGCTTCCTGGGGACCTAAGAGACGATTGGACTACGAAGACTGGGAGGGCTACTACAGAGAAAGTGCCAGTCCTGCCATGAGCCCTAGATCTACTCTCATGGCTTCGACCCCTGAGGTAAGCCCTATGAGGCAACGAGTGATCAAGACACCACACAGCGTACCTGATGCGGCCCAGAAGGACGCAGCTATGCTTCTCTTAAACCTCAAAATGCAGGACCAGGGGCCTTCTGCTCCCAACACCATCGAGTCGCCGCCTCCCATCCAGTTGCAGCCTGCGCTGGAGGAAGGACATCGCAAGAAGAGACTGCGAGCCACTTCGTTGTCAAAATAACTGTGATAGAAAGGGGAAAGGGCGCAATGGGTTTCTATCGACAAAGGAGTCTTTTGGGGGTTATACTACCAACAGCGAATAGAATGGAAAAGTTCGGGCACTTTATTTTACTCAATTATCAGTATCTGGCGATATCTCGATCATGTCGTAACTGCATATAGCACATCGTTTAGGGTCTAGGAAACAGCAATCACAAGTCTTAGTTAGTACACGAACATTTTTGTAAAACACAGTAACTTTTTTCTTCATATTCTTTCTAATCATCCATCAGCTTGCCTCTCCCTTTTCAGCCGCTCTCTTCGCCTTGTGCTCCTTTGTCCATGCCTCCGCCTTATCCTTAGGAACGATAAAGATCCTCACCACCTCGTCCACTACCTCAACCTTACCCGTTCCCAGAACCTTCAGCAGCGGCACCCGCTTGCCCATCTTGAGTAGACCGCCCTGTGTGGTTTCCACAAACGCCTCCACGCCTGCTGTCGTGTACACACCCTCCTTGTCCCACGGCAGAGGGAAAATATAGCTCAGATGATCCTCAAGCGAGTGTGTTTCCTCAAACGCCTTGATGAAATCAGACTCCAGGTGCAGAGGGTACAGCAGCACTGTTGGGAACGCAAGCGTACTGCGGGGATCATCAGGATCTGGGAGGAGCGCAATACCCGCGTCTTCCATCTCTGGTGGTTGAGAAGTTGTGCGTGTGGGAATATTCCTCGCTCGCAGTGCGGCTTTGATGAGAAGTGCACGTCGCTTCTCTTTTGCTTCGCGCTCTGCGTCCCTCTTTCGTCGAGCGTCGATCTCTTTAGCTCGCTTAATGATATCGTCCGCTACAGCACGCAACGAAGAATTATTCTCGTCTAACGAAAGACCCCGCGCACAAACATCATCAGCCTCCTCGATACGGTCCACTGCAAGGAGCGCTCGCGCACTGCGGAAGTATGCTTTGATGTTTCGCGGGTTGAGGCGCAACGCCGCAGCGCAATCAAGCCAGCAGCTGCGGTAGTTCTTAACAGCAAGGTGGCACGCTGCCCGGTTAACATAAAGCGTTTCAAGAGTCTCGCGCTGCTTCTGAATCTCTTCCTCAGTGTCGATTACACCCTCCTGGTTTTTTGTCTGCTCGCCCCTAGCGCGCTTGCGCTCTTCGCCAGCGAGAATAGCAATACCCTTTCCGTAAAACTCCTTTGCATCGGCGTAGCTCTTGAGTTTGAAGTACTCATTTCCACGCTCCTTGAACTCCTGGCCGTTCTCGAGTGGCGTGCCTTCATACGCAAGAGCCTGCAGTGCGGCAATGTCTTCATTTTCCTCGTTGGCATCGAGGTCTGTCATGAAAAGGGGCGACTTGTTGAGATCCTCCCATACTTCGTCGACAGTCTTTCCGCTGGCGATGGCATGAGCTGGGGGGAGTTCAGGTTTTGTGGCCTCTGTGGCGCTGGTATTTGGCTGTGATGAGGCCTGCTCCAGCTTCATGGCCTCATCCATCTTGTCGGTAATTTCCTCGATTTTCATTTTTCCCTCGTAGAACAAATAAATCTGCCACTGTTGTCTACTTGGGGCTTTTGTTGTGAGTCTTATGATTCAGATGTCACTGGTGGGTGGGTTCAAAGTGACTCGATTGCTAAAATTTGAGCTTTCTCCAACTTTTGGTGGGTGGCGAAAATTCTATTGGGCATCAACCAACTATCGCGACTCAGCATCCTCAGAGGGACCTCTTACTATTACACGAACAATTGAACACAAGCCATTACATAAATTCCAATGAGAAAGGCGATCCTTATTCCCTTTCTGTGACAATTGAAAGCGTTAATTCACTAAAGCACCCAGGTGGGAATGGACATATCTGTAATTACTTCTATTTCTATTTACCTCATTTTTATCTAACTGATATACCAAAGCCTATCTCCAACAGTAAACCAAATCAAGATTAAATACACACCGTGTCAAAACTCTTTTCTTCAATAATCAAGTCCAACTCCGAAAGGCAAAAAGTCATCCCAAACCAAATCAATCATTATACCTGGGGTATACATAACTTCGTAAGAGCGGCCGTGATAACACCATCCCATCTACCAGTCGTTTTTATAGGCAAATTATCAAAACATGCTTGAACTCCAGACTCATCGGGGTATAAAACAGTATGACTTGCTGCAGGCAATCAAGTCTTAAAAGCGGATTGAAAAACCCGCGAAATCGTTTCCGCACGTTCGACCTGATCGAGTTTCAAGCTGCGCCACGTGCTCCTCAGGGGGAGTCGTAGAACTCAGTCTCGGTCACTGTAACAGTCTGTTTGTTGGGTGCTTTGGAGATTTCCTCATAGGGCTTCTCATTGCGCCGGCGAGGAACAGAGAAGCACTGAATGGCTCCCAAAATAGCGACAATAGCGCTACCATACCAGGCCAAGGCAGAGCAATCCGATTTAGTACCGACCGTCCACAAGAATCCAGCGACGGGCGAAGCAATCATTCGGCAAGCAGCACCAGCACTTGCTGCTAAGCCGTTCACTTTTCCAAGAGCGCTTGGGGTGGGTGTAGCCTCCTTGATGAGGATCATAAGAAGAGGATATAGAATAATGGAGAGAATATTGCGGATGATAAGACATCCGTAGATAGCGGGGTATAAAAGGCTCTCGGGAACAAGGAGGAGCATGGGCATCAGCACGTAGATGATAGGGTGAAGGACAGTAACGAGCAGGAAAAGACGATAGGTTCCAAGCATCTTGACAGTCCAGGGGAAGACGAAGACCTGGATAAACAAAGCAATCCCGCCATCGACAGCCAAAATCACACCAACGTCTCGCGGAGTCATTCCCAAACCACCAGGCGAGTAGAAAGGAAAGATAGAGCCATGCTTGAGCATCTCCACAGCATTAACACGGTTGTCTTCGAAGAAGATGGGCAGCAAGTGGTCGAAGGTCATCGAATGGTAAGTGAAGATCGACAAGGCGACAATGACGCCGACAACACGGCAATTCCAGATCTTGGCGGGAGCTGCAGCTGTCTTCTCGTTTTCGATACAGAGAGTATCCCAGTCCCCAATTGAGCCATTGGTTGATTCCTCGGTTGTCTCTATCGCACCATAGGCCTGCGGCTCAATCTCGGTGGCCATTCGGTTGTTCATCATGAGAGGAGTCTCCTCGCTGATGTGGTGTTCGGTGGTAGGAACGTGCTGGGCCATGTCGGGATGGGTTTCCTCAAGGAGGAGGAAACCGAGCACAATGCTCACAAGCAGCAATCCTGCGCAGATGACGTTGGGCAGCAAGTAAGGCTGACGTTGGAAGAGGCTGCCGGTCGGGAAAGATTCAGGCCAAGAGTCATGGGGGTTGGCAAACATGCCACCGATAGAGGGGCCAACAATGGTTCCAATGCTCCAGACAAAAGGCATGATGGAGTATGCACGTGCTAAAATATTGGTCAGTCCTGGGAACTTGAGCAATGGTTTGCAGACTTACGCTCATGCTCAGGCTTGGTGACCAGCTCCCCAACCATGGTTTGGATAACACCAATATTACCGTTCAGCAGACCACCGAGGAGACGGCCAAACAAGGCAACACCGAAGCTCGGAGCCACTCCTACTATCAACATGCTGATCATTGTACCAAGAGATCCAATAATCAAAACAGGCTTGCGGCCGATACGATCGGATAGGGAGCCCCAGTACGTTCCCATGACAGCTTCGGCCAGCGAAAAGGCGGATATAAGGATGCCAGAGTAGAACGAAGCATCTTCTTCGCGACCTATTTCGAAGCTTTTGACGAGGGCCCAGGCGTATGGGAAGATGGATGTTAAAGCGATAGGCTCAGCGAGTCGAACAATGGCTTATGGAGAGTTAGCACACGTTGCTAAAGATGTAATTCCTGATCTTACCCAGAAGGAAGAGCTGCATGGCTGGGAAGGCATCTGGGTCACGAGGACCAGTACGAAGGATACCCATGGCGACTTTTGTGATGGATCACAGCCTGGATGGAAAGAAAGGCAAATTGTTGAACTTATTCAAAAACAATCGCCTCCTTGATCCCAAATTGGACAGGAAAATGAGCAAAGCGACGATTCCACGAAGAAAGGGATATTGGAAAAGGCAGAAGGGTGGTTATCGTGGCCCTTTGAGGAGATGGAAGTGGCTGTTTGGTTGGAGAATTTGGAGAGCCAGTCAGTATGGGATTTCACAAGGAAATCAGCAATAGCAGAATCACAACAGTTAAGATGAAAGAACAAGAGCCTGGACTGGACTGGAGATGGGAAGTGATTCAAGCTTTGGAGATTGAAAGTTAGTTAAACAGGTGGAAAAGTTCAATCACGAAGGAAAGGAAGGAGGGTGGGAGACAGGATATTTCTACCAAAAGTCAGTCAAGCAAAGTGCAAGTGCAAGTTGAAGGAGAAGAGGATCAGCCCGTGTAAGTGCGGCGACGCCTTTCTGTGGAGACCGAAATCGCAATCAAAAGCCAACTTCGACCTTGGAACAAGCCCAGACGCTTCGCTCGCTCGCTCACTCGCTCTCCCTGTCCGATAAGGTCCCGTCAACTTACTCGGCGGAGAAAAACGAACTTGGCCTTTGGTTGCAGTGGAACAGTCAAACCTTCGTTTGCAGCATGTGGGGCGGTCGCTAAGCTTGTCCTTGTTGCTGGGAGTTGCATACACCATCAGCAAATTTGAACCAACAGTTGCATACGACAAGGCCCAGAGAAGAAAAACCGGACGGTAGAACAACACCGGGCGCGGCCAGAGTGAGTCAAAGTTTGCCTGACCTTCCTTCACCTGTTTGTTGTCTTGGTGTCAGGTGTCAGAGATAAGAGATTCTGAATCATTTACGAGCAATGTTTCTGGTGTTTCCGTCCACTGCCACGAGGATATGGCATTGAAACGCTACACCTTCTTACCTCCCTGATATCGGTTCATATATATACATATGCATGCGTCTCTGGTCTGAGACTCAACTAGATAGCCACACCTTTCATGCTCTTCTCATGCCACTGTTGACTGCAGGCATGAAGTGTCTCGTGATACAGGAAGACGAGACTGCTCCACGGACTATCGCAGGTACATTTCCGGACTGTCGGCAGGTGATCACTTGAACACAGAAAGTGAGTGAATGGAGCCATCGTTAGACGGGACCGATGGAGTCGTTGGCGTTGGTGTTGGTGTTGCTTCACTCAAGTCCGTGTCAAGTGTGTCTTGGTCTCCCAAGATGGAGGGGAACTCTCGGGAGCGTCCTGGATTCTGCATACCAGCTAACGGAAATATGTCGCTTGATTGGGCGGCTTGGCCGATAGTGGTCTGTATCAAGGTTCCATCCTCAACGTCGCATGCATGTCGATTGCCGGTGGGCCATCCCTAGGATGCCATTGAGGCCAGAGCTTCCTTCTAGCGTATGACTCTATCCAGTATCTGAGATTTGAGCGTATGTAATGATTGGCTGTGTCTTTTGTTTAGACCCGCCACCTGGAATTGAAAATTCTCTCTTCTGGTTGTTTCGTTGCATTGCATTCGTTCGTTCCCATCGGAGCCGATGACCGGGCATTGAGCGACTACGCAAGACTGTCTCTGGTGTTGAATTATTCTTTTCGTAACATCAATTTTAAGCGCTGCGTAACGACTCAAGCCATGTCATGGCTTGCATCAGCCACACAATCTGCAGAGCCGTCATGAAGACTCAGTTGGTTAAGTCAGTGATACCTCCAGCGTTGAAAAGAAAAGCGATCAATATCTCAAACCAATATCATATCCTGGAAATATGGGTGATATTCATTATCGACACACTCTCAAACGTTTGCTTGTATGCTGTGGTTGTGACTGTGTATCCATTTCATCATCTCCTCACTCTCACGGACTTGAGCAGATCCCAGTAATCCAGATGGTTCCATGCAACTCAACTACGAACAAGGTCCTTGCTGCGACTGCAACCCTGCGTAATACCGGCCAAGCTCCGCTACTGGTGGATTCAAGCTCTAACATCTCTGATTCTCTGTAAAGCGAGATACGAACCTTGGGAAAGGATGCGGCTCAACAACGTCAGTGGCAGATCGGGTTTCAGATCCCAGAACACGGCAAAAGCAATAATTTACCACTTCCCGACATCATTGGCAATCATGTCGGTGGCGCGCTAAACAACGGTCAAAACAAACAACGTAGAAGGACACATGTCAACAAAAGCGACCCTGGAAAAACATTCCGAGAACCGGGTGCATCCATTGAGCGGATAAGGGGACCTTGAGGCTAAAGAAGAGAGATTAGACGGCTGCAGGTGAGTTGAAAGCGGAAAAGTTGATGTTACTGCAACGTGCGACTTTTGCGAGTTGGGTTTGGCGCTGGCGCCTCTTCACTTGATGCTTGCATTGCTTGGCTGGTGGTGGGAGTCTGTGCGCCCGCTTGGCTGCTAGTTCCATCCGAGACTGTGGTCTCTGTGAGATTCCTCGGAAACTTTACGACCAGTACTGACACCCCTCCATCTTCTGGCCTCCCTCGTCCCGTCCACAACACACCTTTCTGGCCTCCATCTCGATGGTCGAACAATTCAGTTCCCCCTTTGTCAAACATCGTCATTTTCCCCGTCTGACCTTCAATTGTGTATGTCATTCGACGAAATGATACATAACTTGTGCATTTTGGCCATTCATGGCTTGACTGTCGTTTCACATGCGTCCACAAAGGTCATTTCCTTCGGCAACCTAAATTGAGTGTCTTTGCTTATCTCGCAGATCACCAGCGTCTGGCCTGTCGTTGAGCGACCCACCAGCTGTTGACCTGCATCCCAAGCACACTGCGCTGCCTGCGCTGCAATCATGGTTCCATGCAATTTGCACTTTGGTCAATCGCCGATAGTGCTCCGTGCCGAGTCACCAGCTTACCTCTAGGCTCTTGTGGTAGTGCGAGCAATGAGACCCAGCCACCATACAGTTGCAGGACTCAACGTCCACCGCCTTTTGCTAATCCTACCAACCCTCACTCATCATGTAAGGCATGAACTGGACTACCAAGGGAAAACAGGGAGATTCTGGTGACTAAACGCTTAAGCCTTCTGAATGCGGGGGGGGTTTGAATTGGATCGCGTGGTCCATGGCTCTCTTGAACTTGGCCCCGTGGTCTCCCAGAGATTCTTCTTCATCTCTTTGCGCTACACATTGAAAAGACCTGTCTGGGCCCACTGTCGCCTAGGGCTTCCTGCACTAATTACCCACCGCATCTCAGCGTATGCATCAAACGAAGCGGCTAAAAACTGCCTGCGCTAGTTCCCGCCTTGTCCTCTGCGCCGACTCCACCAGTCAAGGTGGGACTATTTCAACGACACACCATGAACACGGCTGCGACAACGGCAGCATCTGAGTCGAGGATGAGAGAGAGCGGCTTTCAGGCTGATATTTGTGTGAGACTGCTGATTGAAGGATTAAACCGGGCTAGGATCTTCACGTTAACGGTCCGAAGTCTTCAAATGGTCACAGAGTATCACTCCCAGTTGTTCCGTCGCCTTTGAATCTCTTCGGACCATCGGCTCGCTCACCGACCCAAGCGCGACTCGTGTTGCCAGCCTGGCACTTTTGACTGTAACGACCACAGGACTCTTTCCAAAATATCCCGATGATCCGCAACTACCAGACCAGGTTAAGCTACCAAGCCAGAACATGAGGTCCAGGCCTCGTCTAATTGCGGATAGGCGAGCAAATGCTGGCAATCCCCGCACAGAGAAACTGACTTGTAATGCAATGTGGGGCTGCATCCCAAGATATGTTACTATTCTTCCAAGTGAACAAAAACAACAGCTTTAGCGTGTTTTGAGCTGGGAGCCACTGTGGAAACTATCCCGAAATGCCTCATTTTACTCTAACTCATTACATGAGCACCTCCGTCCCCTCACGCAACACGAAGACCGGGGACCTAAGTCACGGATCTTGGGATAATTTGACAAAAGTCTCCTCAGTTTATTGTAAACTAAAGTAAACTGAACTAAGTATTTCATCCCTTGAGATCGAGGTCCTACGTTTTCTGACCTCCCCTATCCTCCTTCTATAACATCAGATCAGATGCCCAAGCGTCGTGAACACAGCGGGCGATCGCATATCATGCCCCGGCTGCATGCATCACATTATCATAAGTTGTCTCGGTTAGCTAGCGTATGGGATTCCCTTGTTGAAGTGGCACATCAGCAGCTTCAGATGCATGCTGCATGTGGCGTACATCTTCTCAAGTTTGCTTGAACTCATCTGCAAGATGTGTCTACCACTAATCTAAATTGGAATTCTTAAACTGCCTTACCGGCTGGACCAATTGCAACTGATTGAACCCCTCATTCTTGCTTCAGCCCAAACCAAGAAGACGTTACCACGCCATCTAGATGCTTCGAAGTCAGATCAAACGTTGCCGCCCCCCAGACCAAGCTTAGAACGGTCGTGAAAGGGTGGCTGTGAAGGCTATCTCCATAATTTCTGGAACTCAAAGATCGGCATTCCAGTTGTGATAGTCGGGGGTGGCGAATGAGGATAAACCATTGTTCAACATCAATCGTGGCGTTAGGCACCAAATATTTGTTTATACTATAGTTGAGAAACGATACTGGCATGAGGTTTGTGTTCTGCAACGCACAAGCATACGCGCACTCTGCGTGTTTCGAAGCTCAACGTCCACATGTTGTTGTTCTCTCTGTGATACATTGCACTCTCAGGCACGCTCACGTCTATCGTGCGTTCCTTCAGAGGCCACGTAACTATCGCCTCTTCTTTCTTCAACTTTGAGAGAGGCTCATCATTCCTCTTCTCCCATAGATCCTTTGTTTTCAGATTAGGAAAGCCATATCACGAAGGATGCTGTTATGCAGTCAGCGGATAGTCGCAGATCTATACCATTCAAAAGATTGGACATCAATGCTGTGAATGTGTTGCAACAACCGCGAGTTCCTCTGAAGATTAAAGCGTCTATCGTTATTGTAGTCCAACTTCTATGATCTGCAAACAATGCATTGAGTCCATCACTCAACGCCCATTTTCTTCAGAATAGCCTTATACCGCTCCGCCTCCTCAGCCATCGCCTCAACACTTCTTGGTTTTCGATCCTCATCATCAACTCTCTGTAACCCTCCACCCGGCTTCGGCCGAGTGCTCATCTCCTTGTCCCATAACGCACCACCAACATTGCCCTCCTCTCCCGCAAGCTTAACATACACGGCATCCGGACTTCCCATGTCTCCAGCCGTTCGCGGAACAACGTGGACATGAACATGTGGTACCGTCTGCCCCGCGTCAGCTCCGTCTTGCACAGCGACTGAGAAGCTTCCGGCCTCGGGTTCGGGGGTGCGGAAGTAAGCACGTGCAAGCAGACGCTGGGTAAGCTGCACCGTTGTGAAGAGATCTGAGATCTCAGTGGTTGTCAAGTCTGTGAGACGTCTGTGCGGGTTGTGCGGACAGACGAGAACATGGCCTTGAATAAGAGGTTTGAGATTCACCAGGGCGAAAGAATGTGGTGTTGTGAGGAAGACCTAGATTGTTGTCAGTATGCAGTAGTGATAAGAGCAAGCTCGGGTCTGAGCTTGACATCGAGATTCAACATGGTTCTTCACCTGATTTGTGACCTCGAAAGGCCCAAATTTGACAATCCGCCCGGCAGCTCCGGCCGCAGTCATAATGTTTCTCACTGAACGACTTTTTGCAGTTGCCCAAGCTCTAGATGCAAGCATGCTCCAATTGGTAGAGGACCCTTATCTGCTATTACGGTGGTCTTCGCGGAACTTTGATCAAGTGATGAAATTAATTGGTCTATAATGAAGAGAGGGCGTTGTCTGAGTTTCGACTTCTTCGTTGTGTATAAATCACGTCGTTTAAAGGTGGTGATCTGATGTCATGAGTGAGCTCTGTTCCCCTGTGAGAACTCAAATGGGACCCACATCTTTTGCACCAATTGTCTAACACTGAGCCTTTTGGCGGAGATCTCCAGCATTTCTCAGCGGAAGATGAGTGTTTAATATCATTGTTGAGCAGTTAGTTGTATATTCAATTCGTGAGTTGCTTCGTGTATATTCTATGGCCAGATACTCCAAAGCGTTGCCTGATACTATTGTACAAGAGTTACCAACCATGGCGAACTGTGCACCTTTGTACTGTAACATAAAACCAACAAAAGAAAATCGTTTCTACTAAAGAGTCGGGTATTTCTTAGAATCTGACTTGGTCTTCCTCATCTAGAGGAACTTGGCCGTCTGGAACTGCGAAAGCCTCCTCTGTCTGATTGAGAGGCTGTCGTTCCTCTTCAGGCTCATCTTCCCACACGACTACGACTCATTAGTATCAAATCATATTAAAGAGTGGGATGTTGACTTACCGTGGGGCCTTATAGCAAAGCTCATCACAAGAGCGAATCCAAATATGCCTGCCAACAGGACAAAAATACCCTGGTTGAAACGTCCAACCGTAAGGGCATACACTCCGTTAAACAAGACTGGTCCCAACACTCGCGCAAGAGCATGCATCATGCCGATTGCTCCGAGCAGCTGGCCAACTCTTTCAGAGGGTACATGTTTGGTAATCATAGCTTGGCCAGTTGCACTACCGAGACCTCCGACAGCGGTGACCATGCCGCTTGCAACAAACACTCGCGATGAACGGGCAAATACATATCCAAGAGACCCGACAACATCTGAAGTCAAAGCGACTCTCAAGATCAGGACGTCGAGCTCATCTGCTCCACGGTTCTTCTCAACGGCAGCCGCACCGGACTCACGGCGACGACGAGCTGCCGGGCGAATGCGGCCAAAGTAGTTGATAACAGGGAATATTCCCATAAGAACCACGACGCGAACAAGTGAGAGAAGAGAGACAAACTCGGACTTTTCAAAAAGGTCCCAGTGGTATGTCCGTCCGCAGTAGAGAACAATGACAGCACCTGCGGACATGCTTGCTCCAAGGATGATGGTATCATTGATAGCAAGGGCAATCAAATTCCGACGAAGAGCCGGCGATGTGCCAGGGCCAGTAGGGTAGAGAGCCTTGAGAGGAGCGAAGGGGTTTGCAGTTCGAAGGGTATTCAGCCATGATGACGAGACAGGCGATTGCATCTCCTTGTCCTTTTCGTACTTCTCCCGCGCTGCCAATTGTTTCCTTTGAGACAATGACTCGGGCACAACAAGCCAAACAAAAAGCATAAAACCAATGTGACATCCCATGACAACATAGAAAATAGATAGCAAACTACCAGTCCACTTGACGAAGAAGCCCGCAAGGAGGGGACCAAATGCAAGTCCCGTGAACAAGCACGCATGCACGTAACCCATAGACACGGCGCGTTTTGAAGGAGGGGTGCAGTCACTTGTGTAAGACTGTGTCATAATACTTCCCGTAGTGAACGATCCTGTCATACCATCAAAGACGCTACCTAGAAGCAGCCAGCGATAGCTAACGACGTCGGGATATCGGGCAACCAGGATAGTGATGAACTCGGCCAAGATTCCACCTACAGAAGCTAGAGCCATAAGCCGTGTACGACCATATCGATCAGATAAATGACCGATTTTTGGCGCGACTATAGCACTTAGAATACCAGTGAACAAATTCATGACCAGCATGAATTTTGCCACGTTTGCTTGGACTTCGGGAATATCGCATTGGGGGTTTTCAGATCCAAGAAGAACTGGTTGAAAGACTGCATCTGGATTACGGCTGTGTTCATCTGCGAAATACTGCCTGCAAACGAGTTGAAGAATCCTTATCGCATACACCGGTAAGCAAAGAATTTCTATATATCGCGAACAACGGATACTTACAAGTCAAGTTTAGGGACCATCACACCTCCAAAGGCAAGGGTGAAGATGATGTATGGACCAAGCAACCAATAGACCTATAAGCAAGGTCAGAGCTGAACAATATGGTTTTGAACAACGTCTAAGCTCATACCGATGGTTGCCGCCACCAGGGCAGGCCTTCAAAGTCCTTGAAGGCATCCCAAGCGGGAGTTGTAGAAGATGTTTCACTGTCTGCATCGCGAGATTCGGAGCTGGTGGGCAGCAAATGTGTTGCTTCGTCTACGATTGCAGTCTCTTCCTCGTGAATACTATCGTTCTTCGCCATATTTTCCTAGCACGCAAGCGGGCCAAGTTTCGTCGGTTCGGTTCGGATATAGGGAAGTGCTGCGCGCAGCAAAGTGATGGCCAATGAAGCCTGTATTCAATCACTATGTTTCTGGGGCATGGCCGAGGAGGAATCGAGAGATGGACGAGACTTTGAGAGGATAATAAGGACTAGGTTTTGCATGTCTCAAAAGTCAAAACAAGCGAGAGGGTTGTGTCGCTTGTAAGTGGCATGAGATAAGTGTGACGAAGAAGGGATCTGGTCTGGGGAGGATTAATAATGTATGATCTAGGCGCATTTTGGGAGCTCTCTTGCGGATACATGATGAGTCCAAGTGCTAGGATGGTGTTGTGGAGTCCATCATCCATGCTATCCACGTTGGGCCATGCCAATTGTCCCAAAGCCAGACGAAACACGATCGTTTTAAGGCTTGATAAGCCATGGGTCTTTTCTTTTTTACAGTTGTCAGTCTCTGAGTTGCTGTCTTCTATATACGTTAATGCCTTGGTGATTCTGATGCTCAATCACGTTATGCTGGCGCCATTGTCGGGCCCATCACGGCATCACTTGATTCATGCCAGATTTGCTTCTCTGGCACCTTTGTTGAGATAGATAAATGAATGACGCATTCCCTGCGTCTTATGCATACCATGCAGGCTGGGATCTGGCAGTATCTGATAAGCTAACAGCTATCGTGGGTGCTGGCGTGGCTCGTGGTCTCGCGTTGGCTTGCTCTGATAGGCTACTGCTCCTGAGTCCTCAAAGTGTGGCATCGAATCGCATCGGGTTTCGGGTTTTGATCCAACCGACTCCGCAAAGTCCGCGATCAACAGGAAACGAGCGCGCGGTATGGAATAAGATCATATTATAAATCTGCTGGAGTCTATGACCGCGTATTCCAAAGTTGCCTACAAACCTATTACGTCTACTATGATAGTTAATGATTAGCTTGCTTACTGCTTTATCTCGGATTCCGGACCTTTCAGGACCTCTTCTTGAATGTAAGAAGTCAAAGTTGACTTTAATAGCATGATGATATCAAACATACAACAAGGTGGCTTAGAATCCCCAAGCTTGCTATATTCATATTTCCTCATAGTTTGTTAGTGCAAAGAAAGCTCAAGAGCTTAAATTTGTTAGTCATATCCCCTAGATCTCGGACATCATTCGCTGGTGTTCTTCGTCCAGGTGAGCGTCTAAGTCCTGGACCTGTGCTTGACTCAGATCCATACTGCACATCGTCAGGTCCTAGTTTTTATGTTTTTCGCTGCCGTCAGTCAATTCCAACATGTTTTCTTTTGACTTCTGATAGTCGCGCCAGGTGCCATTCATTATCGCCAGAGAACGGAGCTGCTCGGTCTTCCTCTTATTGTCACGATCTGGTGTCGTAGTGGCTGTTTCCAATCACGTCTTGAATGGCCCTCTTTGCTTGGTCGACTTTGAATCGTGAGTCCGCAGTGATAAAACAGTGAAGGGGTTCTCTGCAATCGTTTGCAGTGGCTCGGCGAGTTCCTGTTGCCTCTCGTTCTTTCACCGAACCCTTTCCACGAATAACATTAGCTCCCGACTGGTTATTGATAGCTTTCAAGCTGCTTCCACGGGGCCCCAGAATTTGCCCAATGAAACGCACATGGGGGGAGTCAGCAACAGGTAGGTAGATTTTGTCAGTAAACGTCTCTCTTCCAACGGTAGTCATATGGTGGTCGGTACGCCGGTATTGTCTTGAAGGCAGTCTGCACCGGTTGCTCTCTCTCTCTCGTTCCAGCTGCTTGCGATAACGTTGCTTGCGAGTGTTAGTTCGCTTGCCCGTGTTATCATATTCTGGTGTAGGCGATAAGCACCGAGTTGAAGTCCCAGTGGTATGGTTGAGGTCGTTTGTGCGAAGTTTGTCCGTGATTTCAGCAATGCGAAAGCCCACGATGTAAGCATTTAGCTGTTCGCTTGTCATCGGTGACCTGATAGAAGTGACAAACCCAGTAGGGGCGCAACTCGCTTCTGAATGCCACCGATTCGCTCGTTGACGTTTGCTGGACATTGATTTAGGAATGTAGTCGTAGTTCTTAGTAGACATGTTAGTCAAGCAAGAAGTCTCATGAGTAAGGTGTCACTTTGGTTATTTGTGCTCAAGGGATCGATCTGTAAAAGTCTTGTTTGCAATGTTCTATGTGATGCCGGAACCAAAACTGGGCGACACGGGGGACATGATGGAATTTATACACGACCCGATTACCCCATCAAAGTCACACGTTAAGTAAAAGAAAGATTATACGAATCTTTTTCCACGCCTTGAAACTTTGTTCCTTCTTACCCAATAAGGCTTCTCTCCTGGAGTTAACGTCTGGTTGCCTGAATGATATAGGCTCAGGGAGCAAAAAAACATCAAATATTAAACTAGGGTGCTAAAATTAACTAGTCTAAAGGCCTGCTAAGGTATACTTAGCTTACCTAAGCCTTTTTGTCACCTAGAATAGAGGTCCTAAGTTTTCTTGCCTCCCCTAGCATGGCTCTGCAGCTAGCGTTGCTTCGCAACTGTGGGACTATAAGAGCTTAACACTCATCCAATCATAACCCCAATCTGACTGACTCAGCAAGAATTGCGCGCTGTAGATGGAACTTGGATATTTTCAAGAAGCGTGTCTCGCAGCTCAGTCCAGGCTCCATCGTATTCAACCACCATCCAAAGCGTCCTCAGCAAACACCGCCGCGATGCCCGTCGTCAAAGGAGGCGTTTGGACCAACATTGAGGATGAAATCCTCAAGGCCTCCGTCTCCAAGTATGGTCTAAATCAATGGGCGCGTGTCTCGTCGCTGCTGGCGCGCAAGACTCCTAAGCAGTGCAAAGCTCGATGGAACGAATGGCTCGACCCCAGCATCAAAAAGATCGAATGGAGCAAGGAGGAAGATGAAAGACTTCTCCATCTCGCCAAGATTATGCCCACTCAGTGGCGCACAATCGCTCCTATTGTCGGCCGAACAGCAAACCAGTGCCTCGAACGATACCAGAAGCTCCTCGATGAAGCCGAAGCGAAGGAATCATCCAGCCTCGGGCTGATGGGCCCAGAGGGAGGCGAAACACAAGCTCCCAGCGCCGATGATGTTCGAAGACTTCGACCTGGCGAATTGGATCCCGATCCTGAGACGAAGCCTGCGCGACCCGACACCATCGATCTCGACGAGGACGAAAAGGAGATGTTGAGTGAAGCTCGAGCCCGTTTGGCCAATACTCAGGGTAAAAAGGCCAAGAGAAAAGCTCGAGAGCGTCAACAAGAGGAGTCGCGCCGTCTTGCTGCTCTGCAGAAGAGACGAGAGCTTAAGACAGCTGGTATTAATATTAAGGTCACAACCAGGAAGAAGGGTGAGATGGATTACAATGCCGATATTCCTTTCGAGAGAAAAGCGCTGCCTGGCTTTTACGATACATCAGAGGAGATGGTGCAGAATGAGGCGCAACGCGCAGCTTTCGATCCCCGGAAACAACAGCTGGCCAACAAGCGCAAGGGTGAGGGCGAGGATGACAACGACCGAAAGCGAAAGAAGACCGATAAGGACGGGGCGTCGGAGTCATACAAGGCCGCTCTGAAGGCTGGTCAGCTACAGAAGATCCGAGAGGCCGAGCAGAGCAGTAAGCGTCGTGGCCTGGTTCTGCCCGCTCCCCAAGTCAGCGAAGGTGAGTTGGAGGATATCGTCAAGATGGGCAGGATGGGTGAGGCCGCCAATTTGAGGGCAAGGGAGAGTGAGAACGACGCTACTCGAGGACTTGTCAACACATATTCTACTCTGAACTCCGCTACCCCTATTCGAACACCAAAAGCACCTGAACAAGAAGATCACATCGCCAACGAAATCCGAAATATCCGAGCACTCAACGACACAAATTCTGTCCTTCTCGGTGGTGAGAACACCCCTCTCCATGAAGGCGCAGCCTCGACTGGTTTCGATGGCATCGCCCCTCGAAAGCAGACTATTTCTACACCAAACCCAATGGCCACCCCCCTGCGGGCAGATGGCGTGGCGGCCACCCCTGGTCGACCTGGACAAACACCCATGAGAACACCAAGAGACACCCTATCGTTGAACCAAGACGGGGGCATGTCGATGGTTTCGGCTACTCCCAGAGACATTAGGACGAGAGATATGGCTTTGCGCAGCCAGCTCAAGTCCGGTCTGGCTTCTCTCCCCAAACCGAAAGACACGGAATGGGAATTCGATATACCTGATGAAGAGAAGGAGTTGATGCAAGTCGATGAGATGACTGAGGAAGATGCTGCAGAGCGGGACCGCCGAGCACGTGAGAGACAAGCAGCCGAAGAAGCCCTCGAATTTCGAAGGCGAACTCAAGTTATGCAGAAGAACCTCCCTAGACCGGTTCATGTTGATCTGCCCAGTTTATTGAAACAGGCTAGCAGTATTTCTGATGTTGCTGAGTCTCTTATTGCGAAGGAGTCAGCGAATCTGATGGCAAATGATGCAATGAGATATCCTGTCCCTGGTGGCAAAGTCAGTGGCGCACCTAAGCCTCTACAACAAATCGATGACGATGCTCTCGCGGAGGCTCGTCTATTGATTATGTCTGAAACGAAGCCCCTTCCCAAGTTCGAAGATATCCAGACTGCATTCGAAGCACGCGCGAGCAGCTCGCTACTCCTTGGTCTGGGCTGCTATAATGATGACGAGGAAGAGCAAGGGGCAGTCATGAAGATAGCATTTGATGTAAGTTTTGATGAGTTGCATAGGTGAACCTTGATACTAATTGTTATTCAGGCTGTTCAAGATTCCATCATGGCTTCTGCTGAAGCGGGCGCTAAGCTAGAGAAGAAGCTATCACTTCATCTCGGTGGTTATCAGAAGCGACAGAAGATGCTTCGTGATAAGATGGGTGATGCTTCCGAGGCCTTGGAGAAGGCACGCGTCGCTCTGGCTGGTTTCAAGACGCTAGCCATCTCAGAGGATGTGGCTATCGAGCGACGACTAAGCGCTCTACGTGAGGAAGTCGGGTTTGTTAGCCGACGGGAGAGAGAAGCACAGGAGAATTACAGAAATGCAAAGGAAGAGCTGGACGCGCTCATGGCATCGGGAGTTAACGGGGTTCATTAATTGATGTGTTATTCATGGTGTATAAATAGGGGCTCAATCGAGGCTAGCATATCTGGGTCTAATCTAACAATCTGTCCGCTAGGTCATTACGCTTGTATACTTACTATCTTTTCCTTTCCTCCTTTTGATTTAACCTCACTTGATATATATCTCTGAGCCTATTTATGCTTTCTCACACCAAGACGAGGTAGCTTGATTGGCCAAATCATAACCACAGAGGCAAATGCAAACACAGCGCAGGTGATGAATGTGAGTCGCAGTGCAGCTTCATAACTCACAATGACCTGTTCTCGGTACTTGGGCTCGAGCTTGGCCACCTCCTCAACTGATTCTCTCACACGACGGATGATCTCATCACGACCTTCTCCTGTGACGTACTGTTTGAGATAATGAAGTAGAGCGTTCTGAACAACGAGTGAGCTACTTGCAACACCAAGTACCTGGCCGAGACTTCGCCACAGCATGAGTGTAGATGTTACAACAGCTTGCTCGGCTTGAGGAGATGCAGCCAATATCGCCATGAATGTTCCTGGGAATTGGAATCCCTGTCCAATTGAGGAGGGGAGAAGGATGAAGAGGTAAACCCATGATGGGAGGTCACGCTGAAGGAAAACCAGGCCTATGGTGCCGATGAGTATGCAGATAGTACCACTTAGGACAGGCCATTTCAAGCGGCCAGTCCAAGTCACGGCAAACCCAACGAAAGTACCGGTTGAAGAGGCAGCAATTGTTGGAATGATGAGGCGGAGACCTGAGGAGGTGGCAGATGTGAGGAGGACAGCCTGAAAGTAGAGTGGACTGTATGCCATGTTAGCAATAAGATACCAAAGAGCAGTTTCAAGCCACAAGAAATAATTTTAGGTTGCTAGTAGGTAATTGAGAGCACATTAAGCAATGAGATGCGAAACGTGCTGTTGTGTATCAGAAACGAGTTGCCCACAGGGAGCGTCACGTCGCACCTCTATCAGCAACAGATATGCTACAGTCCCATCAAAAGACACAAATCTCATTTTATGCAAAGGGGTATGACTTACATATTGAATAAGATTGAGTTAGCGACCATAGCAGCAATGACATTTGAGAAAATGAGGTTTCCGCGAGGTTGTCGGTTCAAGAGATGAAGGGGCATGATCGGTTTATGAACCCAGGACTCAACCCATATGAACACAGGAAATGTGATGGCGAAGATCACAAGACTTGAAATGACAAAGGGGTGTGACCCTGAAAGATATTAGTTAGTCACCATCAGGGTGAATCTTGTTGTTGACTTACATGGAAGAACATTGCCTCCGAGATTCAGGCCCAGAATCACAAATGTAATAGCAGTGGTCAAGAGCAAAGAGCCCCTGATGTCGAATTCTTTAAGAGCCTGCCACACACCTTTTCTTTCGCCCTGGATACCCAGATCGTCTGGAATGGCAATCCATGCAACAACCATGCAGATCAATAGCGGCGGAATCTGTACTCCAAACTCCCATCGCCAGCCAAGATAATCAGCCATGGCGCCCCCTGCAGCGGCACCCAGACTTGATCCAACGCCATAGTTCATGTTGATATACGACTGATACACGCCACGGTTCTCAATGGGCACGAGATCTGAAACAATGATTGATCCAATGGTCATAACACCGCCAGCACCGATTCCACAAAATGCTCGTCCGAGAATAAAGCTCTCGATGCTGTTTGCAAGAGCACACCACGTCGTTGCGGCTGCAAAGATACCCAGTGCTCCCACAAACAGCGGCTTTCGGCCTAGAGCATCAGATAGACGACCCAATAGAGGCTGGAAGGCGGATGAAGTGAGGAGAAAAGCAGTGGAAAGCCACGATGCCGAGTTCGAGGCGTTAAAGTATGATGTAATGACAGGATGTGATGAAGCCATGATTGTTCCATCGAAGCAAGATATGAAATATGCTGTCAGAATCTGAGAGAAGATGAACCAGAAGCGTGTTGGCGACGTGTTGTTAAGAAATGGTGTGTCTATATCCGTCGCAGCAGAAGTTGTAGATCTTGCTGTGATGGAATGGCGTCGACTGTGACCTATGAGAGGAGTCTCTTCATGAGGACGCCCATTATCCAGGTCCTCGGAGATTTCACTCTCATCTTCACCTTCAGCCTCACTGATCACTCCCTCCTGCTCCTCATCGTTAAGGTAATGGTTAGCCTTATAAGAAGAAGGCCTTAGCATTGCACTCTCTAATGATTCAGGCTGCAGGAAGTGAGCACCAGTCGTCAAAGATCTCGAAAGATTTTCAAATTCTGCTGGATCAACGACACTTCCGTCACTGTCGCTGCTCCGAGAATTGGTCCGTACCGGAACAGGTACCGGAGCGGGAGCGGGAGCGGGAGCGGGAGCGGCACGGCCGGGGTCCGAGACCGGAGTCATAACGGCGGTTTGATAACTTCGGTAAGAAGCTCTCCTTGAAACTGACGAAGAAGAAAAAGAAGAGAGGGAAAGATTACAATAAAATAGAAGGATCAGACAGAACCTTTAAAAGGAAATAGGTTGGGGGACCATGTAGAAAAGAGTGGAGTCTCACTGTCGTGATCGCAGACTTTGCGGCGGATACATCCAGAAAGTGGCCCCGCAAAGATCATCGGCATATTCCCGACTCGGACTGCCTATAATAGATGCATTGTCAGTGGAGGATTAGAAATGCGGTATCTCCCACAAAAGGTTTCTCGGCGCGAGTGCAAGTGTGAGTCAGGCAGAGTATTATGACTATGTCTGCCGGCCGTTATGCGGGACCATCACAGGAGGAGAGGAGTCACCTGCACGCGAGCAAGACTACGGTGTGGAGGGGTCAGTTGGTGTTGTAGTTGTAAGTCGGAATCTCCGCCAACTTCAATTAGATGGGTGAGTAGCTTCTAAATCCAATTGCTAAGAATCGTTAGTACTCTTCAATTAAAAGGCACTCAAAACATACAACTGAACTCGTGAGAATAGTTATCATTTCTATAAACCAGTCAATAATCAACCGTCAGGTTTAGCTTATCTCAAGCCTCTCCCCCTTCCCCTCCTTTCATTAACCCCAGCTTACAGCCACCCATGCTCATGTTCATGAACCATCCCTGCCGAATGCAAATGCCCACCATCTGCAAGTTGGACTGATCAATTACCGAAGCGGTCCAGCCGCCCCCCAAACACCCCAATGCAGTATGCAACCCAAACTCGCAACTATTCTATCGTCTTGCTCTGAGATGCTGCAGCCACAAGAATGCCCGCTCCTGTAACGCCTCCATCGTGACACGGGCTGAGTACGACTCGTAAAGGGCTCTCCTCGCCGAATCGTTCGCGCAGGAGCTGGTCCAGAAAGTTCTGGCAATCCTGTAGGTAGTCCTGAAAGTGAACAATACATCCCCCCGTGTAACCTACGCCGAGTTCGTAATCCCGATCCAATGCCTCTGACCCTTCGCCTGGGACTTCTTCGGCCAATGTCAATAGGGCCAGTGTGGCTGCTGCCACAATACCAGCTGCTCGAACCTCAATGGCCTTGGCAATTCGATATACTGCCGTGGCAAGGTCCTCAGTCCACTCAAACGGCGGTGATCCTGTTGATTCAGGGAATTCATGCTGCAGCATAGCGACAAGAGCCGATGGTCGGAGGGGTTTGAAGTGACTCAAAAACGTTGTTGTAAGGTTGTGCTGTTGCAGCAGGCTCTGAGGCAACGTTCCTGCAGCAATACCCAAGTGTTCCGTCAAGTAGTCGACCAGCATAATTCGTCCGAGTTCACCCAGGTAACGGCCTGCCGTCATGAACTCGAGTGGCTGGAAGCCATTCAACTCACCTTGAATATCTAATGTTTTGTCCCATTGGCTGACCAACCCAACTTCGTGTAAGGGAGGTGCAGTACCGTTGATGCTCCATTCAGTATTGATCGCAATCTTGACATCCTCTACCCGCTCGTCCGGTCGGGCAACAACACTCCTTGGACGTTTAGATGGGTTCAGCTGGCTCAGCTTCAACGGGATCGTTGCATTGCAGCCCGTTCCGAGAATAAGACCCATAGCGGCACGTCGATTCAAGGCTTCATCGAAGTTAAAGATGAATGAGACGAGTGTCGAAACCGAGTCATTGGCAATTGCCTCAACTCGAATAGGCGGTAGCTCGTGTGACTTGGCACGATTGTATCCATCGGTGAGGCGGTCACCCAGATCCTGATCGGAGGAAATGGCGAACCCTTTACCCATTTGCATAAGTGTAGCTTGGGAGAGCGAGTGCTGCACCATGGGAAAGCTAAAGGTAACACCAAGAGGCAATGTTTGGTCGCTTTGTAGGTGCAGTGTATCGCATCCATCTTGGACAATCTCAGCAATGCATTTGCCAATCCAAAGAAAGAGACTATCCGGATTTTCGTTCTTTAGGTGCTCATCGATGGGCCAAGATTTCTCCAAACGCCTCCTCACATGTCTTGTAGGAGAAGTCTCATCGGATCCGTTGGTGATATGGCCATTGGCTTGGTCAGATGGCGCGGCTTCGTTGCCAAGTTGGACAAAACCCACTCTCAAGTTTGTGCCGCCTCTATTCTCACGTTAGATATATAAGAGATAATGAAACTCGAAGGCTCGTAACTGACATGTCTATGGCTAAGTGGCTACAGCTTATGTCAGTCCAGGTTTTCAGTTTTCCAATCCATGAACAGAAAGGTCTCACCATCCTTGTTTTCGCTTGGCTTCTGGTCGTAGGATAGCTTCAGATATGGGCGTAGGTAAGAACTGGTTCTCAGAGCCAGCGGCAAGCTTCTCGAATGTCTTGAGAAACAGTTGGGATAGTCGATTGATCTTGTCAATATCGACAAATAAGGGTTCCAAGAACTCTTCAATCGATACAGGAGTTGCCATGGTTGGAGTTAAGTCGCGATAAGATATGACTGGGGTTTCTTATGAAGTTGATGTGAGGTAGTTCAGGGTATCATTCTAGACAATCTGATACCGGCATTAGGCAGACATAGATCGATTGAGGGTAGATCGCCGGTAGAAGGGCGCTAGGAGTGTATAATCGGGTAACGAACGTAGCAGAGGCTCTTCTCTTATAGGTAAAGATGGTGTGCTAGGAGGGCTGCGAATGTGAGAATGAATAAGTATGAATCACAAGTTATGAGAAGGCGGAAGTTATTCACCTATGTTGACGATTCGGTGCAGACGCTAGCGCAGAGAAGCTGCACCCTGATGCAATGACGTGGAACCACAACCTAAATATATTTAACTTTAGCGGTTAGTTTAATAATTAGACATTGACGACCGTAATCAATGATAGTTATCTATATCATATCATTCAATGCATCTCATCTCATGCATGCACCAAGCAAGGAATTGATCAATAAATTCACACGCGATTTTCTGCGGGGTCACATCAGCCTTTCTGTGCCCCGCTGGTTACCCCTGAAACGGTTGACTTACAGCATCACTTCTCACTATCAGGGATGCACTGATGATCTTGAATATGCGACTTCAGGTGCATTTCAAAGTTAGAAATTCGAGAAAGCGATATTAGGAATACTCGGCTCTTTTGATCATACAGGAACGTGAGACAACGTATATAATTATCGGTATGAAAGCATTCTGAATCGCTCGAAGCTCATCCCAAAACGGTTTCCCTAACCAAATTCGGATAAACAATGCAGCCGCATGTGGCGTCACATTCAGCTGCCCATAACGACATCCCTCCACCTAACATCCCCGGATTCTCTGCCTAGTATACTCAACTGTCACCACTTCATATATAATGGATGAGAAACGCCCTGCTCAACGAGCCATGTCGCCGCCTCGTTCCCTCCGTCGCAGTCGACCTACCCTCACAATAGCCTTCATAATAGCTGTTGTTTATACATTCTGGATATGGCAGCCTTTCAACCCTATACTTAACCAGACGATGGTCGATATCACGAGTGACCATGTTCATACTGCCGATAGACTTGTGCCACTAGAGGCGCACATCATGAGTAAATGCCCTGACGCAAAGGTAATCACCTGCCCATCTAAGTGTAGAATAACAAATGCTCAATATCTCCAGGACGGACTTGAACTACTAGTACTGCCCGTTATGCAGCGCGTCCATGATAAGGTTAACTTCACCTTATCTTACATTGGCCGGTATGTCGATACACATCTATATTCCAACAGGAGACTAACATTCGGTTCCATAGGCCAACTGCCAACGACGGCGTCGACTGCATGCACGGCCCTTCAGAATGCATGGGCAACATCATCGAACTCTGCGCCCGCGAACTCTACCCCGATCCCAAGATCAACCTCGGCTTCATCATGTGTCTAAGCCGTGACTACAGCGAAATCCCCGAACGCTCACTCGTCGAAGACTGTGCTCTCGAGTCCGCGATCGATTTCCAGCAACTTAACGACTGCGCTGTAAAGGAGGATGGTGCCTATGGCTTGAGTCTCCTACGGGATAGCATCAAGAGAACTGCAGATGTATGCTGAACTCGTCTGAAAAACCATGCGCATGCTAATACGATCGATAGGCCGGTGTGACGAAGAGCGCCACTATTCGTCTCGATAACAAAATCTACTGCATCCGCGACGGTGGCGAGTGGACCGACTGTCCCAACGGTTCTGGTGTCAACGATCTAATTATTGCGATCGAGAAGCTGCGCCGCTAGACTTGAGTGGCTCGAAAATCTCGGTCCACAACTCACTTGCCTCTCCTAGCGTATAGCTCATAGCAATACCATCCATTCCCGCCTCTTCGTCTCCCGCCATCGCGCCCAGCGTTTCTATGATACTCTCGAGTCCGACTGCCTTGCCCGTCGCCTGAGTAGCCCCCGCTTCGAGCTGAACATGAACAATATGAATGTGAAAGTGGTAATATGTTGGCTGGTAGTGCACATAGAGTTTCAGCTGGTCCGGCTCGATGGATGGATACGTCTTGACAGTGGCATCGACAAGATGGGTTTTCATGTGCTGCAGCCAGGGGATGTGCTTCTTGCGTAGATCTCTCAGCGACCAGATATCCCGTCTCTCGACCAGCGCCAGTAGGTGCAGTGCGTCGAGCGTCTTGCGGTCCCAGTTGAGGTCTGGCAGCATGAGGAAGCCCTCCTCGCCGGCCTCACCCAGCTTTGTCCTGTAGATAACATCCTCTACCTCCTTGCGCCCTTCGATGATGTTAAATACCCAATTGAGTCGTCCTTCTTCCCTCTTGCTGAGCATATACGGTCGAATGTGGTCTTTGTAAATATCTGGTGTCTCCGTCACAAACCGAACACCCTGCTTGCTGTACTTTTTGACGTGCGTTTCGGTACATGGGTAAATCAGGTTGATTTTGAGATCAGCGAAGAAGTCGGCGTCGTCAGGCTTGGTCGCCTCAGTGCCGCTGCGGCCCATGAACCAGTGATAAATGTCGTTGGCGCCCAGGTTCTGAATCCGCGCGAGCTGAGCGGGAAGATCGGTGAGGTAGGCCTGTGAGGTTGGGAAGGGAGCGCGTTCCAAGATCAATAGAGCTGGTTGGTCGTCGATAGAACCGTAGAGTGAGATGCGACGGCCTGCTTGATCTTGATTGAGAACGCGATCAAGCTTGAATTTGGGCACTAGGGCCTCCGCTTTTGCTTTGACATCAGCCATTGTTGATTTGACAAAACTTGGCTGTGGTCTACAAGTTCAGAATCTCCTTCAGAATGTAATTCTGCCCCTCTTTAGCAGTGGAGGAATCGACGGGAGGGACACCCCACGGTGGGGCTTCTGTTGACACCACTCCACAACGGTAAACAGATGAACCCGCATTCCATGAGATCTCACACATGGACCCTTATTAGCTTACTAGCCAGCGTGCTTGTGGCATTCGACTGGAATTCTACATTCAATTTCACTGCTCGAAGAGACCGCGTGCTGTGTGTATCATCAAAAATAATGAACTTATTTGGAGTATCGCTAAAAAGTCGTTAGGCGTCATAGCCGCCTATGAAGAAGGTGCTCTATCTATGGTAGTGAGTGTTTATTTATTTAACATCATCATCAGAAGCCTTGAAGGCGTAAGGAACGTGGCGCGGCTGCTTCATCATGCCGCCATCTACTCTCCTAACGTCCCCTTATTTCCCCCATGCATCACTTGAGCAACCCAAAGCTGCTCGCGCATGCATCATTACTTGCGCTATCGTCCTCAATTCTGCAAAACAACAATCCTGGGTGGTTCGCACCGGGTATATAATTCAGCGCTAGAATTGAAAATAAGGACCTGGGTCCAAAGTTCGTCATAAGCTCAAAGGTCGAAAAGACGAATAACGGCGTGATACAGATGGTCGGTAAGTTGATCGGGATTGGGATATCTTCCAACGGCGGAGCGTGGTAAGTGATATTCGTACTGAACTTGCGAAGATATCATATGAAGTTTGTGCTGCAGATGCCAACAGGGTATGCCGAGAAACCAGAACGCCATAGCCATTAAACCAATGCACCGATAACATATACCTTCCAGGGCCGTATTCAAGTAAATGTGTCGTGACTGTATTAATCATGAGAATGATGAGTGAGCATTGAAACCATTGGAACCAGTTTCCGTTGATCCATCACCCTCAATCGTCTTCCTCCAGTGTTCGGGGCGGCAGACACAAACCAGAGGGAATGCTTTTATTTCACCTTCTGCAGCAGGAGAGCTGTCGCGGCGTCCCGACGCGTTCGAGACGCCACTATCGCGTTGAGCTTGTCGTCGAGCCTCCCACTCCTCTGCCCGCTCATTGAGCATGACGCCTGTTGCCCAACCATCGTCCCATATGCCCACAACCTTGAGCATATCTCCTCGTTCCAAGGCGAATTCGTCGGTTGCCCGTGGTTGGTATGCCCAAAGAACAGCTATTCGGTCACCGGGGTGAATGTCGTCCTGAGAGTAGTAGTCCTTAAAAAATGGCAACTGTTCGGATTGTTGGCTAGCGACGCCCTGAGGTGATGAGAATCCCCCAGCACTAGATGGGGATTGCGGTACAGAGCTGCCAAGGGCCGAATTACTCGACAGTGAGCCATGTCGTCGGGGCTTAGTCGGTGGTGGGCGAAGAACTCCGCCGCGAGTTTCTGACGAGGGTGGGCTTGACGTAAACTCGTCTGAAGAAGAATGATCCCTGCGTGGAAATGCGCCTACGGCACCAATTCCACCGGCGGCTGATGAAGTGTCGCGATGATGTGAAGGTGAATCGCCGGAATGGCCTTCGAGAGCAGACATCCGTGCTATGCGTCCACCTGGAAGAACTTCATAACCCTGAGGAGCGGCTGAGGATGCTGCTTGAGCCATAGTTGTTCCACCTTGTCGGGCAGGCGAAGGCTGGTTGAAAATGCTTCCTTTGGGACTGCTCGGTCGCCGTCTCCTCCTAAGGCACAACAGGAGGCCAAGGGCAAGCAAACCAAGACCAGCAAGAACGCCAATAACGATACCAGCAATTGCTCCGCCGCTTAGACCACCACTTCCTCCTTCATCGTCATCCTCGTCAGAGTTGTCGTTTCCGCTACCTGCAGTGCTTGACTCAGTAGCTGAAGATGTTGGTGATACTCGTGTGAATGTAATGGTGGCAGTCAAAGTTGGCAGCGTGACATCTTTGCAGCGCTCTTCGGCATTCGAGTTGTAACAGCAGGTGTCGGTCGAGTTAAGGCCACCTGAACCACAATAGGAACAGAGTCCTACGGTGCTGTTGCCGTAGCCACAGTTCTGTGACTCGTTCTCAATTGCTGAAATACATGTCTTAGTGTCCAGGGAGCCACCAGGTAGGGCACAGTTCGTGAAGTCTGCTCTAATCAGCTGGAGCAAATTGCTTGACGGTCTCGAACAGAGCTCGTCGTCTGATGTTACATAAGCCTCGCTTTGGGCAAACTCAGCACAACTGTCGGCGCAAAGAGGTCGCGACTGCGATGCTGAAAGGCCACAGGGCTCAATAGAGTTCTGGACAATAGCATTGCATAACACGGTTGTCGTGAAGCGAGCATACAAGTCGCTGGTGTCAGTCAAATCAACATTGCTGCATCCGAACAAGGATTGGTATCTAGGAGCTGTCAGAATTGCTTGAGATGTTGTTTCCGTGGCTGACTTACTGCCTCTGCATATAATCTCTCTGAACATAGTTCGAAAGTTGGCTATCGAAAGATGCTCTGTCTGAAACATATCGCAAGAAGGGGCTGTTTATCAAGTCAGAGAATTGATCGGTCACCAGATAAGAGAACTCACAAGAACTCAAGCAGGCTGTCTCCGGTAGAGATCGATGCAGATGTAAATGCTGGGCATGCTTTTGAATCCTTTAAAGAAATACAGTCCGAATTTTGAGCCGAAACAACCGTTGATGATGCAGAAAGTAAGCCAAGAATGACACTTTTGGGAGTGACATATTTCCGCGACTGACGAGCCCTCGAAGGGACTGTGTCTTGCTTGAGTGCAGCCATCTGTAAAGTTTGGTTGGTGGTCCAAGTTCGACAAGCTGATGCAGGAATCGGTGGTGTCTTAAGCTTCAACAACACCTAGGTCATGGTTGTCGGGATATGAGCTTGGGATGATTTGCCTGATTTGTCAAAGAGTTGGGGTCGAAAGTCGTCTGGAGTGGTCGATGGAGCAATGTTGGGCGGTTAATAATCGTAGCCAAAAACTGCTCTCCTGAGCAAACAATTGAGTGAATGTGTGATTAGTTTAGGTTGAAGAAGTCGAATTGTCGGAGCTCAATCGATTTCGTGATGTTCTCAAACGATGGTAACAGTTGGTGAAAGATTAAATTACGATTATTTTTCCACGGAGGGAAAGAGCGAATGTCGTAAACAAATTAAAGAAGGTGAGATGGTCCTCGAGAAACGGCCCCTTTCGAGAGAAAACGGACCTGGAAGTTCGTTCCTTTCGATTGTCGTTCAGGCTCGAGTTGATTGAGCGCGTGCAATTGAAGGCAAACCAGGTGATGCTACGCACACTGGCTGGGCACGGGTGGGGGAAGGAGGAAGGGGGAGAAGAAAGAGAAGAAGAAATTCGACTCGAGCAAAGAGATCCCAGCGACTTCAGACCCGGCAGCGGACGCGACGGATGGTGGTTGAAGATTGACCCTGGCTGGGATATTAGGGGGTGTGTTAGGGCAGTGTGAACCGCCTGGGGGTCCGATGAGAGAAGGATGACACAGGTGCACAGCGCAGTGGGAGAGAGGGAAGAGAGAGGCAGAGAGGGAAGCAGGGATTTAGAGAAACATGAAGGACCTTAGGATGATCAGAGTGGGCGAAAGTGGTGCCGGCGCCTGGTGTTTGGACCCCATGCTCCTGGCCAAACAAACTGAATGGAGGGAAATGGCGATAGCCAGGGTGAGTCGAGTCGCCCTAATCCCAAAGAGGAATAGACCAGGGCCAGCTGGGGACAACGGCCAAGTCTCAGATGTATTTTTGCTCCAAGATTGTATGATTCAGATACCTTCTCTTCTCAGCTAGCCTGAACGTGTTTAATCTTGGGGAACAAGGATCCAACGGAAGCCGAGCAGGGTCATTAGCGTCATTCTAGCCGTCCACCACTTAAAGAACGTCTTCCATAGCCTTTCCGGGCCGCTATTTATCGCTACATGACCCCATAAACCCAGCATCAGCACCACGTTGCTGGGTCTCCATATGTAGTTAGCGAGACTTTGCATTGAATCTTTTGTTGATGATATGTTCAACAATGGTTCTCTTACTGAGACACAGACACAGAGCACAACTCTCACACAGATTATTACGGTCAATGCAACCTGCAAGGAGGGACTCTTCCAACAGATAGTCGCCTCCAACGACAGCATCTCGTCTGCAAGTCATCGTCATTCTCTCCCCCTCACATCAGATCTTGACCCATTTGTGTCTCGACTCAGATCTAACTTTGCCTTCCCTATTCCCAATTGCGTTCGACTCCACGTGCACTAGTCAGACTCAGAGTTTATGAAACTTCTAGCCCAGTCGGATCTCATCGACACAACGTTAGCCTCCACTCTTGACATCGAGTCAATCGGCCTCCTTGCATAAATGACTCTGTTGCACGACCATGCACAACAGCGAAAACAAGTTTTTTTTTACTGATTTGCCGTGATTTCGGTTTGTAAGCGCCGTTGCTTCATCTGTTTTTTTGTTACACACATGATGTATGGAATATGCATCCAACGTTGCGCGCAAAGTGGAAAACAAAAGCTTGTGGGAGAAAACGCGCAAGTCTCGGGATTGTTGATAACTATACACAACCACAAACGGAAACATTTGTCCAAAAATTGTTCAAGAAAAGAAACGCATCGGATGCAACCCTCTCACCGTTCTGCCGTGCAGCCACCTCAATATTGGCTGTGAATGTGAACTGTCAGTTCGATGACCGACTGGCTGAGACGTCCCCCCCCAGCTGAGTCAATAATGTTTCCCTTTTTTTTCGAGATTGCATTTTCAACACCTGCTCGGTCACAACTCTGGCCTACTGTTCACGTCAGCAATATATCTCATACACACATTTCATTTGCGGTATTAACGACGAGTGCTTACCTTTCTATTACCTTGTGTAGCTCACCCATTAGCTCTTGTCAACGTCGCATTGCCGCGCAGCGTAACATTATGACCTTCTTGTGCCTCTTGCGTGCTCTAGTGGAGACCCTGTCATATGCCATGGATTGTATTAGGGGATTTTCTTGTAATTGTGATGGTAATGCTGATATGCATAAAGTGGGTGTTTTGTATCATCACAGACATTGAAACACATGGCACAATGCCTTTGAGATTAATGCTCGGGAAATGTTACGGAATTTCCGCTATCGGAAGCTCAGATAATATCTTCCTCGCCTTGAATTCCTCACGAGGCCTCAGCAGCAAAGACATTCCCAACTTTATTCACCATCAAAGCAACGGAAGCTCTAAGAATAATTTTATACATAACAGATCGGTACGTATAGAGCAAGCTCGGGTTCCTGCAGATTAATTTCCAGCCCTTGTCCAATCCCTGCTCTCGCTGGAAGCGCGTTTCACCTGGGCTAGGGACATCGCGAACCGCTTTGTTATGCCACGATGTGACCCTGTTTTCCGTTGCTCTTTGGGAAGTATTTGTCGAAACGAGGATGCGCTATCGCTGTCTAAAAGCCACTACCGGTCAAGCGAAGTGAGCTGCGTGGTAGTGTGTCGATCAACAAGCTGTTATCGGCACAGAGGACGGAGTAAAGTAATAGAATGAATGTGAGACACGGTAGGATCAGAAATGTTCGTCTCTGGTGAAGCCACCTGGATATACTTGATGTCGGTCAATGCTTTCCCGTCCTCACGATTTCTCTTGGGTTGGATCGGATTGGTCAAGTGCTTGGACCTGTGAATAGCTGTCAATATTTGATGGGCTAATCGCGTCTTATGTTACAAGACATGTCCGAACCAGCAATTCACTGCCAGTAACGGAGCAGGCTCCAGATAGCATGATCTTTCTTACAAGTTATCAATAATATTCATTGTGTTCTTGGTCAAGTGATAAGAAAATGTTCTTCGCAAGGCCTAGAGCTAATGGGATTCTTCTAGATATAGGTTAGGTAGCTTATGATTTAGTTCTACTCCATAACGGCTACCCTAACTTTACATATATTCCTAGGTATCTTAACCTTAATTACTACTAGGTCAGACACTTGTATTAAGACAGTATACAATTTGCCCTCTCAACAAAGAATCAGAAGACGTTTGCACAGAAACATGCCTGGTATCTGTGTAGACATCGATCTGAGCGCAAGTTAACCCAAGCTACTTCGTATACCACTGCCGAATTGGTAATGTGAGCCGAGGCATATGCGGGACTAGTTTACATGCATTATTAATACGCAATTAATCACTCCTAGATGCTGAGTCCAAGAATAACTATTCAACATCATTAGACATACAGCATGGCGCTCAAAGAAACGACGAAGCTCTTCACTCCCGTCAAGGTAGGAAAAGTCGAGCTTCAGCACCGAGTGGTGCTTGCTCCTTTGACACGACGACGTGCAGATGAGACCACATCAGTCCCCGCGCCTTATGCGGCAGAGTATTATGCTCAACGAGCATCTCCTGGTGGCCTCCTCATCTCTGAAGGCACCTTCGTCGCTCACGAGGCCGGTGGAATGTCACGTGTACCGGGTCTCTACTCCGAGGAGCAGAGAGCAGCATGGAAGACGATAACGGATGCTGTACATGCCAAAGGAGGCTTCATATTCTGTCAGCTCTGGGCTTTGGGGTAATTACATCAATGTACAGTATGCGCGTATTGGGGATATTGACTGTGACCTGTAGTCGAGTTGCCAACCCGAAGATTGTTCCTCATGTCTGGAGCGCCGGTTCTGTGCCCTTTGATGCGAGGGGTTCTGGGTCGGCCGAGCCGCCCGCTAAGTTCACCGTTATGGCTGAATCTGATATTGATAGATTCGTGGGACACTACCGACAGGCTGCTCTCAATGCCATCGAGGCAGGCTTCGACGGAGTTGAGATTCATGGAGCAAATGGATATGTGAGGCTCGAAAGATACAAAGTGAGATTCACACAGCTAACGTTCCATATAGCTTATCGACCAATTCGTGAGTTCAGTACTCTCTTCCAAAAACCGCTACTAAAACTTTTATAGCTACAAACCAACAGCAATAACCGCACGGATTCGTATGGAGGTAGTCTCGAAAACCGCTTTCGCTTTCCATTGAGAGTCCTTAACGCTGTCTGTGAAGCCATCGGCCCCGATCGCGTTGGAATTCGCATGAGTCCCTTTTCGAGATTCCAAGGCATGCGCGAGGCCGAACCTCTGGCTGTCTTCGTCCCTTGGGCAGAAGCCATCATCAAGGCCCAGCCATCTCTGGCCTTCATTCATGCAGTTGAACCCAGGATCGAAGGTGGAAGTGATTCTCCTGACAAAAACTTGGAAGAGAACGAAACTCTAGCCCCTATTCGAAAAGTCGTTGGCAGTTCAGAGATTAAGTTCGTTGTTGCAGGAGGTTTTACACCGGACACTGCAGTTATGCACGCAGCTCATACCGATGACCTTGTAGCTTTTGGGCGTTACTTTATTCGTAAGTTATGTGATCAAAATTTGCCGATACGATGTACTGAGCTAGCAACAGCAAACCCCGATTTGCCAGCCCGAATTCAGAACGGCTGGCCGCTGACGAAATATGATCGCTCGCTCTTCTACACGCCGGATGAACACGGCTACATCGAGTAAGTATCAACCCCCCCCCCCCCCCCCCCCATTGACTGGCTTTGCTGACCATGCCTTGTAGCTATCCTGCATACAAGCCTGATGCATCGAGACTTTGATGCGAGATGTTGGATATCCGCCAGAGCGACTGACGTTGCTAGGCTCCCAAACTGAGCACAAAACAACCTAGAGTATGACTAGAGTATTAGAATATCATGTCTTGTGTTGATTATGCACAACCATACCTCGCCCAACTGTGTCGCCAGCTCAGATGTCAATTATCATGATTAAGTTCTTGCTTGGTTTGCTGCACATCAGATGCCTGTGCTGGCTCGTTCTTGCCAGTGTCGGTGGCCTTGTTCGAACTGAGGATCTCAGCAACTTTTTGTGCCAATCGTGTACGCGGAACCGACGTTCGCTTGAAACGTCTACTCATCACACTCAGTTAGCAGTCCTTTATTGCATTGTATCACAAGGTGCTTTAGAAACATGGAAATTCACGAGTAGAACGCCTGCAGTAAAGGAGAAATAACTTACACAATCATACCACGTTCAATGTCGAGTTGCTGTTCATCTACAGGCAGAAACTCGACAAGAACGTCGGTGGAGGTATACCCAGATGTCAATCCCATTCTTGCCATCGCTGCCCCTTTATCAGCAATGACATTGCCTGTGACTTTGCCCCGTGGGACCCAGTGCAGCTCGATCATCACTCCAGCTTCTTGAAGTTCATCTATTTTGACGCAGACTTTCTCTACTGTTCGTTTTCTGATCCCCTTTTTCGTGTGAGGATTGCTGCCCTGTGCATTGCCGTGAGGTCCAGTGGTAACCATGAGTCTATTCTTCATCCTTAGGAGATTCAAGGCGGATTGACTGTCGGTGAACACTTCGAGAGATTGTAAAAGATTGATGTTTTCCTTCTGCATTTTAGTGACTTGCACTGCATAATCCAGCGCGAGACAAATAGCCTCAAGTTCTGCAACTTCCGTAGGAGTTGTGTGTCCCTTTGCGGAGATGCGCACCCAGTTAGAGCCAGTAAGAAATGCCACGGCAAAGCCTGTAGAGACTTTTTTCCTCGAAGCATCGGCCCAGATAATCAACCGAGAGCCATCGCTGGACGCGCCAGCGACATGTTGAGCTCTGGTCACAGCCTCCGCAGCAGGTTTGATAAAAATACCGGTCAACGGCCCAAGCTGATGGCACGAGCTGCTACTCTTGGGCTGCTTCTTTTCCCCCCTTGTGGTCCCTTTCTTGGGTACCGGTACCTCCGTAGCAGTCGCAGGTGTCGCAATCCTGGAAGGCGACTCCTCATTCCATGCCTCGCGCGCTGCAAGCCATGATCTCTTTGACCTATCGAGGAGGTCCTGGACCTTTGCATAAAGGTTCAAGATGGTGTCTGCGACGTACGGCATTTCTTTTGCCTTAAGGAAGCAGCAGCGCGACGAATGATGATGGAAGGAAGGAAGGAAGGAAGATGCAAGATGCAAGATGAAAGGGTAAACAAATGGAAGCAAAGGGTGGAGAGAACAGAGAAGAGTAAGGATGCGGCAGTGCCTAACAGCTCGTGAATCAGATAAGCAGTTTGTCGGAACGTTTGAAGTTATTGGCAGGTGCGCCTCAGTGGCAGGAAAATGATCAAAAGGTCGACTGCCTTACGAGAAGCGCCACTTTCCGCCAGCCTAAAGGTCAGATACTACGACTTGCGAGTAAATAAAAGAGTGAGGCAAGGGGAAAGAACGCAAGAGGTGAGAACTGGAAGAGTCGGCGAGTTGTGGCCCTGGGATGCTGAAGGGGGAAAGACCTGAGTGCGATGAAAGTTCCCCCTCTGCTAATAGAGACAGATGGGTGAATATAATGGTGTGGGATATCATTCTCATGTATAAGGTACCTTATACTGCCAGAATGCCTTAAGTCTCTTCGTATAACACGGCATATGTAAACAATAATAGAACCTAGGTAGCCCAAGCAGTCAGGAGAACCAGCACAACTCAAGAGTTGGGGCTCGATAGCTAAGAAAGCGAGAGGAAAGCCAAGAACCGAACTACTTAATCTCATTCTCCTCAACGTCTCGGCTTCCTACTTGAGGTGTCTTGGGAACACCTACTGCGCCCAACTACAAAACTACATTTCAGCTCTGCCTCCAGCGCCTCTCAATTATCATCTTCTTCATCTGTTCCCTTCCCTTCGCATCAGACATAATTCGGTTTTCTTTTTTTGCTATTCATCTCGCTCCCCAACCCATCAAACAACAGTCCGTCGATGGTCCTTTGTAATTCCCCAATTCTGTTCTACGACCTTGGCCGTCATCCTAACCAACTGCCCTTAGCCCATCTCGTGTCGTTTTCTCATCTCAGAAGACATTTTTGCTGTTCATCGCCAAGCCTTAGCCCGGTTCGACAGATACAGTACGTCTCATCACTGACGAAATTTGTATGCATTTCTTCAATGATCAGAGTGGAGTTCAGTGAATAAAGCCAAATTTACCGCGAATATATATTGCGCGGCGAAGACCATGTGTCACCCTTCTGAAAGCTGAAGCTTTGAGGAGAAGAAGTCGGGTACTTTTTTCAGTCTCTGGGTTTTTATTCCCACCCTGCAGCTGCCTTAGGTACACAACTGACCCGTGCCGGACACTTGGGATAATGAAACGTGAAGATGGATTTAAGGTTCCCATACTTCGCCGCCGCTGACCATCATGGCTTCAGAGTTTGGTCTTCGCGAATGCTGCGGAGGCGAGGGACGGATGGCTCAGTTCCCAAAGTACATGAAATGCCCTTGACGGAAGTGGAAGATTGTAATATAAGGTAGCTATGAATCGATGGTAGTATTTACCAGTAACACCCATTTGAAGTTTCCTCTTGATATCATTCATTCCTTTTCGTTCTAATCCACCTTTGGTTGATTGGCTCTGGAAAATGATGTGCCCTTTCACCTGAATCCCAGTTTTGTCATGATATAGGCTTCAGCGGCCTTGTCCGTGTTCACAAGCTACAATATTCCTTTACCAACGCCAAAGTACAAAGGGTACAGTTGATCTCGCTGCCCCCGAAGCTGAAGCCGAGGATGGGGGCGATAGGGCTGAAGCAGGGGCCCAGGGCATTGTAGAAAAGCTTGGTGCTTGGCTTTGGGCGATGAAACCCTATCGTCGTATTGCCATCAGATAAGGTTGGGACTCATTCACACTACTTATAAGTTAACACTAATGCTGAGACTGAGCCATCTCACTTGGAAGATTAGAATGAGTTGATAGAACATGAAGAGCTTTCGGAGCTAGGAAAGACTCGCCTGTCTCCAGTTCTAACCATGCGCGATCCTTCGATGGTGTTAATATCACAAAAACCGATGACTAAAAGGGCTTTAGCTCACCTCCAAAGCCTCACCAATCAGAACATCCATAATCCAGACTCGCTCTAGTATTGATATTTCTTAGATTCAGCCTTAAGTCTAAGTTCACCAATCATATCCTTTTCGCTTCTCTCGCGCTCAAGTCAACCTCCGACATGCCGTCTTAAACATTACCCAAAGAGGAAACGGGGCAATGGAGATCTGCCGCTTTATCTGCTGATTCGCGACGCCGACGACCGATACCGAGTGTCTGGTTTGGCGTGGTGAAGAATGAGCATTCCCAAAGGGGTATGTATATAGACAACATCCTCCCGTTTGTAGGGAGATTTGTTTTCAACTTGATCAGGGCACACTCACATTCATCATTTTGAGCTTTCGTCATCATAGCAGGAATACTTTCGATTGATTCAACATCTGCTGCTCTTATGCATAAGTCATCGACATAAACACAGCATCTCTTCAACAAAATGTCCTCGCAAACCTCAGGCGAGATGCCTCCCCAAGGGCCTCCCTATCTGCCCAAGACAGCTGGTCTCGGCGGCAGACCTACAACCACCGTCGACGATCCTATCTGCGCCGTGATCTTGGCCTTCTTTGTCGGCGGTGCCATTCTCAACATGACTATCTTTCAGCTGAACAAAAAACGATTACACAAATTCGTCCTCAGCGGTCTGCTTTTCGGTTTCTGCATGGCCCGTATCACTGCGAATGTGTTGAGAATCGCATGGGCTTCGAACCCTCATGACACCAGTCTTGCTATCGCTGCGCAAGTATTTGCAAACGCAGGTGTTGTGCTCTTGTTCGTTGTGAATCTGATCTTTGCCCAGCGCATCTTGAGGGCGTATCATCCACAAATTGGATGGAGCAAACCCGCTTCACTGGCGTTCAAGTTCTTGTACTTTTGCATCCTTGCAAGTCTTGTGATGCTAATTACAGCCGTGGTGTATAACTTCTACACTCTGAACCTACATACAAAGCAGCAACTTCGCGATGTTCAACTCACCGGCAGCACGTTTCTCACCATTCTCGCTTTTCTCCCACTACCCATTGTCGGAGCTTGCTTCATCATCCCCCGAAGAGCACCAATGGACAAATTCGGACAAGGCCGCATGCGAACGAAAGTCCAGCTTCTTATCTTCACAAGCGCACTGCTTTCTCTCGGTGCTGCGTTTAGGACCGGTGTATCCTTCAAGGTTCGCCCCGCGAACGACCCAGCTTGGTATCACAGCAAAGCATGTTACTACTGCTTCAACTACGTCATCGAGATCATCGTCGTCTTCTCCTACGCTCTCTCACGATTCGATCGACGCTTCCACATCCCCGACGGTAGCCATGCCCCTGGCGATTACTCTGGTCGCAATACAAAGACCCAAGAGCGCATGTACCGTGTTAATACCGAAGAGGAAGTCTTTGGTGACGACGAACGACCACGAACAGCGGAACAGCGCCAACAGCAGCAGCGAAACTGGGAGGCAGGTCTAAAGAAGGAGCTCAAGGAAGAGACCGTTTGATGTCAAATATCGTGTTACACGACTGTACTATCTGTAATACATAGCAAATTGTGGGCGCACAAAGAATGGATATGGATTTTGTGCAACCGTTTTCGCCGCCATAATACAGGCTGTTCTGATCAATACATTATAGAGGGGTGGGTAGTTTATGCGCCTTAAGAAATTGTAAAGCTTCAACAATATATCTTTGAACATCATGAGTTGGGTCTGATCCTGGACTAACGTGCTATATGATACTCATAGTTCAGCATTGTAAGAGTTATAGTATAGACGCATGAAAGTAGTCGAAATAAATCAACTCGTGGAAATGCTTAGTCGGACCAATACTGAAAATCAGCTCAACATATCAACACAAAGCAACAAAGTGATGGACGTTATCTGCTACCATCATGTCCTGACCGTGCGAGACCTCAGCAGAGGTAATCTTGTTCGCCAATGACATGAGGAAATCGGCTCTTTAATCGCTTCACTGCTCATATCATAACGAGAAACAGACAAGTGTTGATCATGCATGCGTGTTTCTTTCTCTTACAGCGCGAAACTCAAATATGCGTATCTAAGCAGCCATGAGGTGGGCGCCGTAATCAAGTCTACCAAGCCCTTCCCTGCACGATATCATGCTACCTCCAAAGTGACGATCGCTTTGCAACATTCGGAAGCTCTCCATTAGCGAAGACGTAATATCCGTACAACCCATGCTCCATAGAGTTCTGTTTTCGTTCGAAGAATTCGTCGTGGAATCGTACACGGTCGAGCTGCAATAGACTTAAGACTGGCGCGGTCGCACCAGGCATGGCGCTTCGACATTTGACTCGAGCTTGGTAAAACGTGGGTATACGTGACGAGATTAGAGGAAGTAGTCGGGAGTCCCTGGTCATAGTATTAGCTAAGTCCTTCTAACCAATTGTGGGTGACACATACGCCTTGAGACCATGGGCTCGCCAGCTCTGGGGCATGGATCGAATTGCAGGCTGGTTGTGGTTAGTTCGTGTACTTTATATTAAGATTGGCTCGACTCACAAGGTGTACTTCAGGTGCTCATCGATCTCCATGATAGCAGCTTGGTTACCGCATCGGTAGCAGTAGTTGGGTGCTGTAGTGATGTTAATGTTGTACAAAAGCCTGGCGTCTCACGTGCTGAGCATACCTGAGAAAATGGTGACCACATTTCGGTCTTGAGACCAGTTGTAACCCTCCATAACAAGCTGATGGGCTCGAGCAATCAAGGTCAAACCATTGTTGTGGTTGAAAGCTTCTGAAATGTCCTGTCCGAATGTGTACCCCGCACCTCGAGGAGAGATTCCCCAGCCGCATCGGTCGTCAGGGTCTGACCAGAGAAGATCACACATGGGACCCTCGTGAGGAACCTCCTGAATACGATCAAGAGCTCGGATGTTATCCAGAGTATCAATGCTCGGGGAGAGGCCGCCATGAAGACAGAAGATTTGGTTGTCGATCAGGGCAGTGAGGGGGAGGTAGTCAAAGAGGTCGGTAAAATACTTCCAGACATTAGCGTTTCCATATTTACGGAGGCATTCGTCGTAGAAGCCGTAGAC